CACGATATCCACCACATATTTTTCATCATTTTGCTTTTAATGGTCAAGTGTTTGTTCCTCAAACTGCACATCATAAAGGGAAAGAAAAGAATGCCACTCTTAAGTAAGTGATTTTGTATTTCAATTTTTTTTTGTTTATCACTTATTCTAATAAAATTATTATTTTTATTTCTAGGGGGTTTGCTAAGAAAACACTTTTAAAGACTGCACGTAAAGCTGGTTTTAAACCGAAGCAATCATCTAAAAGGCAAAAATATGTCTTACCAAATATGAATATGATTACTAATAACAAGTACATGACATTACCTGGTCGAATGAGTTTACCGGTAACAGATAATAATGATTTAAGTCACGATGATGACCTTAGTGGTAAGTTTAATATCTAACACTTTAAATGTTTTTATATTTCAAATTCTCCTTTTTTCTAAAATTTTTGCAGTAGATGATTTTGAAATTCCCGGTATTGGAACTCAACCGCCAACGGATGCAAAAACTTTAGAACGATTATCAGAACGTAGTTATGTCAGAGATTGGTATCGGTTAGGATTATATACAAATGGGCCACATAATAATCGCAGGAACGAACCATTTCGATTATCATCTGTGAATTGTGCCTATATGATTTGCAGAAGTTATCCTGCACTTCTTATAGTTCCATCATCAGTAACAGATGAAAGTATTCGAAGATTTTGTCGACTTTATAGACATAATAGAATACCTGTCGTTACATGGAGGCACTCAAAAACAAAAGCACTTTTGATTCGAGGTGCTGGTTACCATGGGAAAGGTGTCATGGGTATGCTAAAAGCTCACCCAGCATCGGCTGGTAACTTAAAAGGTATTACTTTAAAAACTTGTTTTGAAATTTTTAATTTTTTATAATATCTGTAAATATTTATTTTATATTTACAGCAACATCTTCAGAAACAACATCGTCTTTAGAGCAAGAAAAATATATTATGGCTCTTGTATCTGCTACTCCTTTATCTGCATTAAGACAAGGCTCTGCATGGGGAATGTCAGATAGTTCTCTTAGTATTGATTCTTTATTATTAGCTGCTGAAGATCGTAATGCTACCCCCGAACAATCACGACGTAATCCATTTAATAAAGCTATTGGAAACTTAAGGTATACTCTTTATGAAGATTTTATTAAGTGTATAAAGAACTTAATTAAATAGTGTATTAATCGTTTTTGCAGTTCATCAGGAGGTAAGGGACCTAAGAATTTTGGTCGCTGGGGTTCACTAAAAGATAAAAGACACAATTCTCAAGCCTCATTAACATCAGTTCATCAACGTGGAACTGTAAGACATTCTGCAGATTCAGACAGTGGCACTGAATGTGTTCATACTTTTCAACGTGCTGCATTATACATTCTTGGTGAAAAAGCGCATATGAAAGTAAGATAATTTAATTTTTAAATTATTCAAGAGGTATACGTGATATGACTTCGTTATAATTATTTTCCTAAATATAAAGGGTGTTAAAGCGGAATCAGCACCAAAAACGGACTTCATTCCAGTGGAATACTATGATGTAAGACATACCAAAGCTGCATTTAAGAAACTTATGCGAGCCTGTGTTCCTAGCTCTCCAAATGTAGAGCCTGACCAAAGTTTTTATAAGTGTGTATAATTTATTTAAAGAAAATATAATTTTATTAATTATAATTTCTAATATTAGCTGGTGCTGTTATAGACTTAATGGATGTTCAAGGCTCATCAGTAGCTGTTTGTTTAGAGGAGGGTTGGGATACTACAGCAACAGTATGTTCTGTTGCTCAAGTATGTCTTGATCCACACTATAGAACTATCGAGGGTTTTCGAACTTTGATCGAAAAAGAATGGCTCGGATTTGGGCATAGATTTGGACACAGAAGTAACCTTGCAGCGAATTCTCAAACTACAAATTTCACTCCCACTTTTCTTCAATTTCTCGATATAGTGCATCAAATTCAAAAACAATTTCCACTAGCATTTGAATTTAACGAATATTATCTAAAATTCTTGGCATATCACTCGGTTTCTTGCCGTTTTCGTACATTTTTGTTAGATTGCGAATTTGATAGAGTAGAGTGTGGTATTACTGCAGTTGAGGACAAAAGGGGGTCATTAACAAGCCATCATAAAGGTGTAGATACAGGTAGCGACGATGAAACAATTTATCCTGGAGGTAGATTAGCAGGAACAAATACTGGATGTAACCTGGGTCAAAGCATATTTGATTACATCGAAAAACAACATGCAAGATGTCCCTTGTTTTATAATTTTATGTATACTCCTAATACAGAGAGTATGGTATTAAGACCTGTTTCACATTTACCAAATCTCGATATTTGGCAATACTATTTAGAAGAAGAACTAGCTCACGGGCCTGCGTATGATTTAGAAGTATTACAACAAGATTCACAGCAAGAAGAAGAGGCAGAAGCTGCTGATGGTGTCGTTAAAAGTAATCGCAAAGTAGTCACACAAGGGTAAGATTTAATTGACTATATTTTAATATTTTTACTAGTATTTACATTAATGCGTATTATACATATATCTTATTAGGTACGATAGTATAATTTCAATGGTACCCGATCAATTTTCCCATCTTTTAGAAGAGATTCATAAATTAGAAACTGAATTGGGTCATTTACCGCAAAAATGGAAAGTTCTGTGGGACAAACTGGAACTGCCAAATACAGATTCACTTGCTGTTAGTAATAAACGTTGTAGTTATTTAAAAGTTATCATTTAGTTTCATATAATGTATTTCCATTCTTTATTTAGAGACATGCATCATTTAGCACTGCATTGGTCAGATATCATGGTCGATTGATTCATAAACGTTCTACATTAGAACTACTTTTAAGAGGTAAACTGGCTAGCGGGAGTACTTCTGGAAATGATGGTTCCGTTTATGCACATCCCCATAGGTAACATTTACCATATCACTTTTATTTTAATCAAATAAATAAAATACTAAATAAGTTTATATTTTTAAAGATTCGAAAGATTAGATTCAGCAACACCAACTCATTGTGATGCTTGTTCTGGTGTGTTATGGGGTCCGGTAAAAGCTGGTGTACGATGTGTTGATTGTGGTCATGTGTGTCATGATAAGTGTGCTGATGCAGTACCAAAAAATTGTACAAAATATAAGGCAGTAACTGACAATTTACAAACACACACACTCACGCGAAGCGGTGGTGATAATGGAAGCGTAAATTCAAGTATGAATATTGCATTGTATAATTCTTTATGTAAATTATATTTGTGTATTTTATCAATGTAGCAATATATCAACAATTATTTCATTTATTAATATTAATCATTTGTATCTAGGTGTTACTACAATACAGACCTCTTCACAGCAATATTATGAACAATTCTCTAGTAATGTTGCGGAAAATAGGACACATGAAGGCTACCTTTATAAGCGAGGTGCTTTACTTAAAGGTTGGAAACAGAGATGGTTTGTATTAGATTCTATAAAGCATCAGTTAAGATATTATGATGCCATGGAAGATTCTCATTGTAAAGGATATATAGGTGCGTAAAAAGTTATTAAAAATTGAGGTGATATGACACAAACTTATGAATATCTATAATTTTGCAGATTTAGCTGAAGTAGTATCTGTAACTCCAGCTCAACCAATGCCAGGGCCACCAAAGAAAACAGATGATAAATCATTCTTTGATGTAAATATAATTACTTTTGTATTTCTTATCATATTTCTTTTTCAGAAACAAAACTCATATTACACATATATTTGCAGCTTCGTACAAATCGACGTACATATAACTTTTGTGCTGGCGATGCAGCAACTGCGCAAGAATGGATTGAAAAAGTCCAAGCGTGCTTACAATAGCTTGATTATAACTCTAATTTAAATTGTGCAAGTGACTGATAGATTAAAACAGATTTTAATTTTGTTACATACTATTGTATAGTCTAATAGTACGTATTATAGACTGCAGTAATTTTGCTTTAAATATTTTAAGACCAACAGTTGTTGGACTGAACAGTATCATAAATTGAATGTGATGTACTCATATCCTTGACATAACATTATAATATAAATGTATATTGTAATTATATGATTACGTTAAGTTTTAATTATTTCAGCTGGAAGATGAAAGATCATAACATACTCAATTAAACGTTAAAATCTTTTGTATTTTGTTTATTGCGTCTTTAATTTTAAATGAATGCGTAAAATATGTTAAACTGTTAAATGAACTACCTATTCTGCGAATCATTATCATATTATTTAGTATAAATATAATTATAATCGGATAAGTTGCGATCTCGCTTGTTAAAAAATAGAGCCTGAACGAAAATAGAAGGCATGTTTTCTTCTTGAAATCTTATGTAATATTTGTTCAGTACTTCTGCTACGCTTATCAGTAAACTAAAATTAAAAGAATTTTTGTATACCGTTAATTTGTAGTTAAAACTGTTCTTACATCTGTAGTAATTTTCTTATTAAATATATTATTTTTTGTATGTTCGTTACGCACATGTATAAATTTTTATGTAAATGAAATATTTAAATTCGATAAAACGTAAAGTATGTAACGAACATTTTTAACAAATTATATGCTTACGATTTAATTGACACTTTGTGAATATTGATAAAAATTAAATAAATTCTATAAAATTAACAATTTTATAATAGGGAATTGAACTGAAAATTGTTCTATATTAAATTTATTTTTTGTTATGATCAGTATTTTCTATTTCAAGTTTATATAATTCAGATAATAAATTAATTTCTAATTGTTAAATGTTTTGTGAGAGGAAGTTCTTTACGTTTTCGTATGCCATTTAGAAGAAGATAAGATCAATTGTTATTTACAATACTAGGTACTTTATTGATTAAAGCCCTAGGGTGAAACTTTACTCTAGATATTTTATTCGATAAATGCTACACAACCATAGGGAAATACGAAAAGCGTAAGGCTAAGAGTACTGTATAAACTTGTTACGAGTATTTAGTCTATGGTTGGAAGGCGTTTTACTTTCAGAGTTGTCAATGTTCTATCAGTTGACAATTTTTCACACTTTTTGACTGTTTAATACAGTTAAGGTACTTTAAAATAAGATGTTTTTAAGTGCTATTTTTTTATTAATCTTTTCAATTATTGTAAATATTAACAGTATTAAAATTTTGTAAATTTCACTGAGTGAATACATAAAAACTATTAACATTTATAACTATACATCATTATTATGTTGTATTTTAAATACTTTTAATTTAATATAATTTACAAAATTATAAAAGATATTTTGTTATCGATATTAATGGAATTTCTAAATACTTTGTATTTTAGTTGGTGTTAGTAAAATGGTACTATATATCCTGAACATTGATCCAATCCATAGTTTGCTATATTGAAAGCTTATTTAATTTTCCTACATTACTACTACATTCGCAATACATCGGTGTTTCTTTTTCAGGGTGTAGACTCAACTACCTACAATATAATTTTGTAAATTTTTTTAATAAATCCAAAATGACAGACTCAAAGTATTTTACCACTACCAAGAAAGGAGAAATTTTTGAACTCAAATCAGAGTTGAACAATGATAAGAAGGAAAAAAAGAAAGAAGCTGTGAAAAAAGTGAGTCAATTTATTAGTGAATTATTTTACTTATTTATCATTATATTCAAAACACATTTCTAAATGAGACATACAATAACCATGTAGTAATTTAATATTTATATCATTCTTTCAATAAAGTATATTTCATAAATAGTTAAGTAGTTTTATGCAGCAAAGATGCAATTTTAAA